AGCAGAATTTCTTCAGCATCACTGAACAAAAAGTTGTTATATTATAGCTGATAAAGGGAGACAGCCATAAAACTGGCGCTTCATACCAGTGAGAGGATCTGTAGTGTATTTACACAAGCTAAATAATTGTTTTCCCAATCTCTGTTTGTTGTCTGTCTCAATAAGAAGTCTTTGTGTCACCTATCCAAGACTCACAGCTATAGGTGGTATGAGGACCAACGTAGCGTATTACTGAAATATTCATGCTTCTGTCATGGACCCACAGTGCCATCTAGCGACAGTAAATGGTCCGGTGAGGTCAGAACTATATCACTATTAAAACTCATGTTACCCCTGATAAAATGTATTAAGGTTTAATAGGTATAATCAGTCATGTGGGAATAAATGCTCCACCCCATGTGTTATGGTTCCATATGCTGACATACATTCCTCATATGTAACATTTGACATCACATTCCTTGTGAGGGTTATGGACATGTTTTACTGTGTGTTTTGGATCCTGCTGTTTTTCCATGTGTGCTCGGTTGGCTGTGCGTCTCATTTTCAGGTTAGGCGGGGCTGGTCGGAGGAGGACGCTCCCTTGTTGGCACAGCTGCAGCTCATTGTCTCATCAGCGGACAGGTTAAAGCCACTGATCACCTGGACTCCTGTGCCAGACGATTGTGAACACCACGAGTGGTACATTCAGGCTGTCTAGTTTCGAGCACATGTGCCTTTTGCTAATTTATCTTGAGTCACGAGTAACCGTGGTTGTTCTCTCTTTGTTCTCCAGCATCCTCTCCACCAGTCTCTGCGTCCAGCCGTTCCCCTCCACAGCAGCCTTTTCCACTACCAGAACACGAGTTGGATTTTGCCCCTTCACGAGCACCTGCACGAGAAAACCCTACACGAGCACCAGCACGGGAAATCCTCGCACCAGCACGGGCACAAACAATCTCTACATGAGCACCTGCATGGGAAATCACCCTCCTGCACCGCCGCTACGACCAGCGCACCCACCCCGGATTCCTCACCTGCCTCCTGGTGCTCCACACCCCCCGGATTCCCTTAATAAACCTGTTTTTCCCCTTAATCCCTGTCTCCTCGGTCGTTTTGGTTCCCACTGCATGCCGAGCGGCTCTCAGCCGTCACATTCCTATTTTTATTGCATAGCCTAGGCTATTTCTAATGAGGTATACACATGTGGACAAAACTCCTACTTCATTGTTTAAAGTTTGTGTAGAATAGTTAATAAACCTTTCTTATTTAGATCAATTCACGGTTTCGTGTCTTTCTTTGTGTGGGAACTGAGGCCAATTTAATCAGAGTTTACAGCTTTCAGATAACACATTGATAAATGTGATTTCACATAAAGTATATTTGAGATTTCATTTAGAATAATTCCTCAGTAAACTGAGATGGTGTCCCTAAATCATTGAGTGCAACTGAACTACAAAGCATAGTTCTAACATACGCTACACTTTTGCTTTTAAACTCATCCATCAGTCAGACAGATCCAGTCTTATGTACTGGATGCAAATGTTTGGCATGTGTGTGTCTTACCACAGCCGAGCTCATCCTCCTCATTTTCACAGTGCACCACTCCATCACACTGAGCAAAAGTGCTGATGCACTGAGATGATGAGCCACAACGGAACTTCCCCACACAGCTCAGACCAACTGTAGAGAGAGATGAGACTGAAATTATGTGTGGTCCTTGAAAGTGACAGTCGCGAAGGTAGATTGTGTGGTTCAGTTCTATTTAGACCATATTTAAGAACAAATGAGATATGATACAGAAGATAATACTTCCGCATTTTTTATGCACAGTAGTATGCACTAAATAGGTGGTCCTCTACACTGATACAAATTTGAGGAAAAGTCAAGTCAAAGATACAACTAGATGCTTGCCAGAAGCTTGTGGACAGCAACCAAAAAGTGCCTAGCTGAGGTGAAAATGGCCAAGGGACTTTTAATCATATATTAGCATAGCAACAGATTTTGTCTTATAACCACAAGACCTATAATAAATGTACAGTAAAAAAACAAATCAAAATGCATAATTGTTTTTTTTTTGACAAAGATGGACAAGTTTCAATGATTCTGTCATAGAAAATTCAGAGTTGTAGGAGTCAATGACAACTCAAGGTTGCAATTATATTCCACAGCCCACAGTCAGATGGTCTGTAAAAATATTTGCTAGAGATGATTAAACTTAGATTCATCATTAAATAGTGCACATCTTCAGATGGGGAGAAAACAGAAATACAACAACATTGTGTTCATTACCATGTTACCTGTGACTGTGAAATACCACTTTCTTGATCTGATCACTTGCTTCAGCCAGTGAAACAAATCATTTCTGCTGCTGCTTAACTTGGCTTATTAGTCACCTAGCTCACTGGCAAGCATGAAGACATTTCTGAGTCAGTCCACATTGCCAAGAAAGGCTTGGTCAAAAGTTGCTAAAATAGGAAAATAACCAGACAGTTATACTGAGTTTGGTTTTACTGACAACAGAATAAGAACTTTAATGATCCCTGAAGATTTTTTTTTTTACAGTTGCAAAAATTTCTGAATCTATACTACAAAGTTATTATTACACACAAACACAAACGCACACACACACACACACACACACACACACACACACAGCTGACTTTCTTAATAAGTTTTTTTATTTTATTTTATTTTTTAGCCGTTTGGTGTCATCCATCCTCAAGTTTTTTCCCCCAGCAGAGTCAACTAATAACCACAGTGGCAGAAGCTCTTGTGGAGAAGTTTCCATGTCTTAAGGAGCCAGGGTCATTTGCAGGGATGTATGGCAGGCAGCAACGTATCAAGTACAAGATGCACAATTACCGTGCCGAGTTGAAATCACGAAAGCATGCCTATTCTGAAATAGAAGTAAACACATTAAAGAGAAAACTAGCAGATGAGGCACCCTGTCAAAAAATGTAAAAAGACCAAAGAAAGCAGAGGTTAATTATCTCCCTCCACATCCTGTTGGAGAAAATCAGGACTCATTGGAGAAGGAGCGGCTTGAGTTGCTCAATGATATGAAAAAGAATAATGCAAAGATAATGGCAGAAAAAATGTCCAAAACCTTTTCAGGTCGAAGAATGGAGGTGGTTACCCTCTGCCCAGCTGTCGGTGTCCTCAGAAACAGGTGACTTGCATTGTTCAGTGAGACTCAAGTAGGAATGTTTGAGATACAGTGCTGTGAAAGAGTATCTACCCCCTTCTCAAATTCTTATTTTTTTGCACATTTTCCCCACTTTAATGTTTAAAATCATCAAACAAATGTAAATATCAGACAAAGATAACCCAAGTAAACACAAAACTTGGGTTTCAAGTCTGGACTTTGACTAGGTCACTCAAAAACCTTCGTTTAGTGTTTTTTAAGCCATTCAGAACTGGACTTGCTGGTGTGTTGTTGTCCTGCTGCAGAACCCAAGTGGGCTTCAGCTTGAGGTCACAAACTGATGGCCGAACATTCTCCTTCAGGATTTTCTGGTAAACAGCAGAATTCACGATTTCACCAATCACAGCAAGTCGTCCCAGTCCTGAAGCAGCAAAGCAGCCCCAGACCATTACACTACCACCACCACCACCACCATGTCTGACTGTTGCTATGATGTTCTTTTTCTAAAAGCCTGTGTTACTTTTATGCCAAATGTTTGTGAAGATTCTCAATCATCCAGGTCATGGTTGTTCTCGTAGTTAATCGTTGCAACTGGACTGCTTGACTTTCTTGAAGACGTTTTACCTCTCATCCAAGCGATTTCATTCCAGTCAGAACTGATGAAGCCTCTTGGATGAGAGGTAAAGCATCTTCAAGAAACTCAAGTAGTCCAGTTACTACAATTAAACTACGAGAACAATTTTACGCCAGATGTAATGTCAATTACTTTATTTCTCATCTGTTCTTTTGTTGCACCTTTTTGAGATCTTTTGGCCAACTGCATTTTGTCAGACAGATTGTATTTAAGTGATTTCTTGATTGAACAGGTCTGGAGATAATCAGGCTTGAGTGTGGTCGGTGAAATCTAACTCAGCTTTCCCCAAAATGACCCACAGTTAATTCATGATTTAACCAGGAGGGCAATTACTTTTTCATGGCACTGCATACAGTGCAGCTGGAAAGTATTCACAGCGCTTCACTTTTACCATGTTTTGTTATGTTACAGCCTTATTCCGAAATGGATTAAATTAATTTTTTCCCTCAAAATTCTACACAAAACACACCATTATGAAAACTTGAAAAAAGGTTTTTTGAGATTTTTACAAATTTATTAAAAATAAAAAATTAAGAAATCATATGTACGTAAGTATTTACAGCCTTTGCTCAATATTTTGTTGATGCACCTTTGGCAGCAATTACAGCCTCAATCATTTTGAATATGATGCCACAAGCTTGGCACACCTATCTTTGGGCAGTTTTGCCCATTCCTCTTTACAGAACCTCTCAAGCTCCATCAGGTTGGATGGGAAGCATCGGTGCACAGCCATCTTCAGATCTCTCCAGAGATGTTCAATTGGATTCAGGTCTGGGCTCTGGCTGGGCCACTCAAGGACATTCACAGAGTTGTCCTAAAGCCACTCTTTTGACATCTTGGCTGTGTGCTCAGGGTCGTTGTCCTGCTGAAAGATGAATCGTCGCCCCAGTCTGAGGTCCAGAGCGCTCTGGAGCAGGTTTTCATCCAGGATGTCTCTCTACATTGCTGCATTCATCTTTCCCTCAATCCTGACTAGTCTCCCAGTTCCTGCCGCTGAAAAACATCCCCACAGCATGATGCTGCCACCACCATGCTTCACTGTAGGGATGGTATTGGCCTGGTGATAGGCGGTGCCTGGTTTCCTCCAACCATGATGCCTGGCATTCAGGCCGAAGAGTTCAGTCTTTGTCTCATCAGACCAGAGAATTTTGTTTCTCATGGTCTGAGAGTCCTTCAGGTTGATTTTGGCAAATTTTAGGTGGGCTGCCATGTGCCTTTTACTAAGGAGTGGGTTCCATCTGGCCACTCTACCATAGAGGCCTGATTTATGGATTACTGCAGAGATGGTTGTCCTTCTGGAAGGTTCTCCTCTCCACAGAGGAACGCTGGAGCTCTGACAGAGTGACCATCGGGTTCTTAGTCACCTCTCTGACTAAGGCCCTTCTCCCCCGATCGCTCAGTTTAGATGGCCGGCCAGCTTTAGGAAGAGTCCTGATGGTTCCAAACTTCTTGCATTTACGGATGATGGAGGCCACTGTGCTCATTGGGACCTTCAAAGCAGCAGAAATCTTTCCGTATCCTTCCCCAGACTTGTGCCTCCAGACAATCCTGTCTCTGAGGTATACAGACAGTTCTTTCGACTTTATGCTTGTTTTGTGTTCCGACATGCACTGTCAACTGTGGGACCGTATATAGACAGATGTGTGCCTTTCCAAATCATGTCCAATCAACTGAATTTACCACAGGTGGAGTCCAGTTAGGCTGTAGAGACATCTCAAGGATGATCCGTGGAAACAGGATGCACCTGAGCTCAATTTTGAGCTTCATGGCAAAGGCTGTGAATACTTATATACATATGACTTCTTAGATTTTTATTTTTAATAAATTTGCAAAAATCTCCAATTTTTTTTTTCAAGTTGTCCTTGTGGTGTATTTTGTGTAGAATTTTGAGGGAAAAAATGAATTTAATCAATTTTGGAATAAGGCTGTAACATAACAAAACGTGGTAAAAGTGAAGCGCTGTGAATAATTTCCAGATGCACTGTAGATATAAATATAAATATTTGTTCTAACTGCCTGTCTGCTGTGTGTGTTTGACTTTGGGTCCTTCTATTGTGCTTCAAAACACAACACCAACAGCTTCATATAAAGCTGCAGCTACCAAGTCTTGAAATATTCCTGGCTCTTACTGACTCCCAATCAAACAATGTAAACATTGCTCTGAGGCAAATTAGGGCTGAAACAGTGCATGTAATTACTCGAAACAGTGCATTATGCCACATTCAGTGTGGTATGAAATTTCCTCCATTTGGTAGCCCTTTTCTTGCCAGAGTGTATACCCTTTGCCAGCCCGTTCTGTAGTACACAATAGTCTGACTGCACCACACTGTCATTCTACTACACAGGAAAAAAACACCCAGGCTTGTTTGTATTTCTGTAAACCAGTCACAAGTGTCTTGAGCTGAGTTGAGTGACAGATGTAGCTTTGGTGTTCCCTCAAAAAACTGATGGGTGGGTTGTTTTAATGGAACATTTGTATGCAGGGAGGTGAACACTGTAATTAAATGGATAATCCACTTAAAAAGTAGCAGGATTACCTTACTGTTTGATCCAAATCTTTAGCAAAACTTGACATGTTCAGTGTGAGAGATCGCTGCGCCGCTGTGTCAATTTTTGAATCACCTCATACTACATGCTGAGTTTGGCTTCAAGCAGCCAGAATGTGTGACTTCTCTGCTCACACTGTCCAGGTTAACTGACCAGTGACTACAGATATCCACAGACTTTTACAATGTCTTTTTTTCTTCTACTTTTTTTTTTTTTTTTTTTTTTAAACAAGTTGGCTATAACTTCAGTGCTGACAAAAAGAGAAAATTCAGCATTACTTTGTGCAGTTTTTAAAGCTGACATCATGCTGCTGGCTGAGATGGCCAACTAAAGATAATTATGAATATGTTTTTTTAATAGACATATATTCATTATCTCCTGAGAATTCATCACCCGCAGAGGGAGTCATAGGGGTCGGGTGCTAAGAGGACTGGGTGGTGGTCGAGGGGGGCTGCCTCGACGGCTTGGTCCGCATACACAGTCTCTGGTTGTTGGGACATGGAATGTCACCTCGCTGGGAGGGAAGGAACCTGAACTTGTGCGGGAGGTTGAGCGATATTGGCTAGATATAGTCGGCCTCACTTCCACGCACAGCCTGGGCTCTGGAACCCAATTCCTAGAGAGAGGCTGGATGCTCCATTTCTCTGGCGTTGCCCGCGGGGAGAGGCGGTGGGCTGGAGTGGGCCTGCTCATTGCCCCCCAGCTTATCCGCCACATCTTGGAGTTCACCCCAGTGAACGAGAGGGTCCCGTCCCTACGCCTTCGGGTTGGAAACAGGTCTCTCACTGTTGTTTCGGCCTATGGGTCCAACAGCAGTGCAGAGTACCCGGCTTTCTTGGAGTCCCTGGGAGGGCTACTAGATAGTGGCCCGAATGGGGACTCCTTTCTTCTACTGGGGGACTTCAACACTCACGTGTGCAATGACAGTGAGACCTGGAGAGGGGTGATCGGTAGGAACGGCCTCCCCGATCTGAACCCGAGTGGTGTTCTGTTGTTGGACTTCTGTGCTAGTCACAGTTTGTCCATCACGAACACCATGTTCGAACACAAGGGTGTCCACATGTGCACGTGGCACCAGGACACCATAGGCCGGAGGTTGATGATCAACTTTGTTGTATCATCAGACCTCCGGCTGTGTGTCTCAGACACTCAGGAAAAGAGAGGGACAGAGCTGTCCACCGATCACCACTTGGTGGTGAGTTGGATTCGCTGGCAGGGGAAGAAGCTGGTCAGACCTGGCAGACCTAAGCGTATTGTGAGGGTCTGTTGGGAACATCTGGTGAAACCCACTGTCAGCAGGGTTTTCAACTCCCACCTCCGGGAGAGCTTCTCCCAGATTCTGAGGGAGGTTGGAGACATGGAGGCTGAGTGGTCCATGTTCTCCTCCTCCATCGTCGCTGCGGCCGCTCGTAGTTGTGGTTGTAAAGTCTCTGGTGCCTGTCGTGGCGGCAATCCCCGAACCCGGTGGTGGCAGCCGGAAGTAAGGGATGTTGTCAAGCGGAAGAAGGAGTCCTACCTGTCATTTTTGGCTTGTGGGACTCCTGAGGCAGCTGACAGGTACCAGCAGGCCAAGCGTGCAGCAGCTCGTGCGATCACAGAGGCAAAAACTCGGGTCTGGGAGGAGTTCGGGGAGGCCATGGAGGAGGACTATCGGTCGGCCTCGAAGAAATTCTGGCAAACCGTCCGGTGCCTCAGGAGGAGAAAGCAGCTCTCCACCAACACTGTTTACAGTGCGGGTGGAGACCTCCTGACCTCAACTGAGGAGGTCGTCGGGCAGTGGATGGAATACTTCAAGAGTCTCCTCTATCCCGCCATCACGTCTTCCGAAGAGGAACCAGAGACTGTGGACTCAGAGGCGGACTTGTCCATCACCCGGCCTGAAGTCACCGAGGCGGTTAGAAAGCTCCTCGGTGGCAAAGCTCCAGGGGTGGATGAGATCTGTCCTGAATACCTTAAGTCTCTGGATGTTGTGGGAATGTCCTGGTTGACACGTCTCTGTAGCATCGCGTGGTGGTCGGGGACAGTGCCTCTGGATTGGCAGAGCGGGGTGGTAGTCCCTCTGTTTAAGAAGGGAGACCGGAGGGTGTGTTCCAACTACAGAGGGATCACACTCCTCATTCTCCCCGGTAAGGTCTATTCCAGGGTACTGGAGAGGAGGATCCGACCGATAGTCGAACCTTGGATTCAGGAGGAGCAGTCTGGTTTTCATCCTGGTCTCAGCACACTGGACCAGCTCTATACCCTCCATCAGGTGCTCAAGGGCTCATGGGAGTTCGCCCAACCAGTCCACATGTGTTTTGTGGATCTGGAGAAGCCGTTCGACTGTGTTCCTCATGGTGTCCTGTGGGGGGGGTGCTTCGGGAGTATGGGGTCCAGGGCCCTCTGTTAAGGGCTGTCCGTTCCCTTTACAACCACAGCAGGAACATGGTTCGCATTGCAGGTAGTAAGTCAGACCTGTTCCCAGTGCACGTTGGCCTCTGCCAGGGCTGCCATTTGTCACCGGTTCTGTTGATTATTTTTATGGACAGAATTTCTCAGCGCAGCCAGGGGGCAGAAGGGGTTTGGTTTGGGAACCACAGAATTCATCTTTGCTGTTTGCAGATGATGTTGTTCTGTTGGCTTCGTCAAACCAGGACCTTCAGCATGCACTAGGGTGGTTTGCAGCCAAGTGTGAGGTGAGCAGGATGAGGATCAGCACCTCCAAATCCGAGGCCATGGTTCTTGACCGGAAAATGGTGGCTTGCCCTCTCCGGGTCGGTGGAGAGTCCTTGCCTCAAGTGGAGGAGTTCAAGTATCTCGGGGTCTTGTTCACGAGCGAGGGGCGGATGAAGTGTGAGATTGACAGACGGATCNTTTCCATACGTTGACCATGGCAGAAGTTCTGCGAAGTGTTTCCCAAGGGGAATGGTTCACATCTGTAGACCTGAAGGATGCCTACTTTCATGTCCCCATTGCTCATCGACACAGGCAGTTTCTACGCTTTGCCTATCGAGGCCACCACTGGCAGTTCAGGGTGTTACCGTTTGGGCTCTCCCTCTCCCCAAGGGTGTTCACGAGATGTGTGGCGGCGGCTCTTGCACCCTTGCAGGCTCGGGGCACGAAGGTTCTGCCGTACCTCGACGACTGCCTGATCTGTGCACTGTCTCAGACTCAGGTGGCCCAGGACACAGGGTGTCTCCTCTCCCATGTGGCTCAATTAGGCCTCAAGGTAAATCTGGAGAAGAGTTGCCTGGCACCTTCTCAGTCCACGATGTTCATCGGTGTGGCCTTGGACACCGTGACTATGAGGGCCTGTCCATCCCCACAACGTATGGATGACATCCTACAACTTCGAACCCTCTTCCAAAGGGGCAAGTTGGTGCCCTATGCCACGTTCCTTCGTCTCTTGGGCAAACTAACATCTGTCACAGCGGTTGTTCCACTAGGCTTGCTGTCGCTGCGCCCACTACAGAGGTGGCTGCACAGCTTCCACCTGGATGCCAAGCAGCACAGGCACAGGAGGATTAAGGTGTCACAGCAGTGCCTTCTCGCCCTGGCTCCATGGAGGGACAGGGCCTACATGTTAAGAGGCATCCCTCTTGGCTCGATTTCATCCCACAGAGAGGCTGTCACCACAGACGCATGCCCCCGAGGATGGGGCGCAGTGTGGCAGAGCAGGATGGCCCACGGGCAGTGGTTCGTGAAAGACCGCTCCGAACATATCAATGTGCTGGGGCTGCGAGCGGCACATCTAGTACATCATAACCGCCAGAGCACTCGATCACTCAGAATCCACGTGTTCTCGCGAGAAGATTCTGTAGGAACAGATACTGTGATGACACTGGAAGATATAGTCTCCCCCGGGGTCATCNGTCTTGTTCACGAGCGAGGGGCGGATGAAGTGTGAGATTGACAGACGGATCAGGTCAGCGTCTGCAGTGCAGTGGTGAAGAGAGAGCTGAGCAAGGGGGCAAAGCTCTCGATTTGCTGGTCAATCTACGTTCCTACTCTCACCTATGGTCATAAGATCTGTGTAATGACCGAAAAACAAGATCGCAGATACAAGCGGCCGAAATGAGTTTCCTCCGCAGGGTGGCTGGGCGCTCTCTTACAGATAGAGTGAGGAGCTCAGTCACGCGGGAGGAGCTCGGAGTAGAGCTGCTGCTCCTCCACGTCAAAAGGAGCCAGCTGAGGTGGCTCAGGCATCTTTTCTGTAAGCCTTCTGGACACCTCCCTGGGAAGGTGTTCTGGGTGCATCACACCAGGAGGAGGCCTTGGGGAAGACCCAGGACACGCCGGAGAGATGATGTCTCTCGACTGGCCTGGGAATGCCTAGGGGTCCCCCCGGAAGAGCTGGAGGAGGTGTGTGCGGGAAGTCTGGGCGGCTTTGCTAAGGCTGCTGCCTCCGCGACCCGACTCCGGATAAGCGGGAGAAGATGGATGGATGGATGGATGGATGGATGGATGAATATATTCATTATTTTTATACTTACTGAGAGTATTCAACATTTGAGTGCCATCATTTTTCACAATAAGAATGATTGCCAATTAGGCACTTTTGAATAATTTCTTCTTTTTTTCATAAAGTCAGCAATAGTTGCAGTCTCATTTGCTAAATTCCAGCCCTTAAGATGTGACTCTGGACTCCAAACTGGTTCCAATGTAAAAATGCGTTGTCAGCTGCTAAATCTGTCACCTGCTCTTAATCCAATTGATCCTGTTTTTTAACACTAAAGATCAGTCTGAACCCAAAATACTAAAGCTCAAAGTAAAGGTTGTAGCAGAACAGACATCAGGCTGTTACTGGGTGCAAAAATATAAATGTCAAACATTAATGATTTGAATCTTATTAACTTATCCAATAACATTCACACTCTATGAAAAGACAGTTCATACTTTGCTCATATGAGGTAACTGACAATCAAATTAAAGCTAGAAGTGGAGGACAAAGTGTCAGTGATCTCATGTTATCTCAATGCACTGTGTGAGGGTGAACCTTAGCTGTACAACAGGCAAGGACTACATCCAATATTGATGGAGTAAAGGCAGCCCATCCTACAGTGGCTTCATCATTAGTCATTGTTAACACTGAATTCCTCACCTCCAAGACCAATGCTGAGAGCGAGAGTGAGCACCACAATGATACATGAAGTGATGAGCAGTTCGAAGCGGTGGGCCAGCACTCTGTTCTTCCAGCCTTCTGCCAAGTCATCCTCTGATGAGAAAAAGGGGGTTGGGAACATTTACGGTGTTACGTTATTGTGAGTCCTTGAGATATATTTGTCTCAGTAGGCTCCAGCTCCAACACTGAGAAGCTGAAAAAGCATTTAAGCCACGGAACAACAGGCGTCATCACACTAATAGTAGTTTTTCTTTAGTCATAAGCAGAATGTTTAACTTCTTGTTAAGACATAAATCTTCAGCAGGACGCTATATGTGGAACTGAGTTCAAACAAACTACAGCATGTGTGTTCATGGTGGGAAAGGAATGTGACGCTGTATGACATAGACTCTAGAGCAGGGGTGGGCAATCCTGGTCCTCGAGGGCCACAATCCTGCATGTTGTAGATGTTTCCCTCTTCCAGCACACCTGATTCAAATGATCAGGATTGTTATCAGGCTTCTGCAGAGCTTGATGATGAGCTGATCATTTGAATCAGGTGTGTTGGAAGAGAGAAACATCCAAAACATGCAGGATTGTGGCCCTCGAGGACCAGGATTGTCCACCCCTGCTCTAGAGGAACAAGATGCATCAGGCTTTGGATAAACACACACTGCTGGTTAGTTGGATACTTTTCATAGAATTTCCTTAGAAGAGAACACATAAATTGATACCTACATTACTCTTAAGCAAATCCATATTCAAATGCTTAGTGTGGCTGTTTGGGAGTTAAAGCTGTTATGACCTATCTAATTCTCCTCAAGTCTTTAACAACCAAGCATGTTAAAACTTTTTTAAATGTACATTGGAAATATCTACATATAGAATAGTTTTATATGACATGAATTTTTTTTTTTAAATTACATTTTGAATTTTCTTTTCTTCTTTTTTTAGAGTGATGTTGATAAATCAACATGATACACTTTTTTTGTTCAGGGACCTGCTGAATTAAAATCAGGAAAAATGGGTTTTGAGGATTTGTATATGAAAAGTCTCCAGAGACAGAAATACAGCCCTGTCTGTCTCTGCATTCCACAGACCGGCTGTTGATTCATCCTTTGACTTATAGACCCTGTTCTGGAAGTTCAGCGATGCTGAGAGAGGATGAAGAGGCCAACACAAAGAGAAACACTGGAGACTCAGATGACCTTAGGTTGAAATAAGGTTTACTGATCAGGAAAAGTGACAGTAACAGAGATCATATTTCTCCTGTATTAGCTTCTCTTCACTGGCTCCCTGTAAAATCCAGGAAAGAATTTAAAATCCTGCT